TGGGATGGAACCACGGGGCTGGGGACCATGGCTGTGGGGCGATGCCTAGCCGTGGGGCTGGGATGGAACTTTGGGGCTGGGGACCATGGCCATGGAGCGATGCTCAGCTGTGGGGCTGAGATGGAACCATGGGGCTGGGATGGAACCACGGGGCTGGGGACGTGTCCGTGGGGTGATGATCAGCTGTGGGGCAGCGACACGGCCGTGGGGCGATGCTGAGGTATGGGGCTGGGATGGAACCATAGGGTTGGGGACCACGGCCGTGGGGCGATGCTGAGCTGTGGAGCTGGGATGGAACCATGAGGTTGGGATGGAACCACGGGGCTGAGGACCACAGCTGTGGGGCAATGATGAGCCGTGGGGCTGGGATGGAACCAAGGGGCTGAGGACGTGGCCGTGGGGTGATGCTCAGCCATGGAGCTGGGATGCAACCACGGGGCTGGGATGGAACCATAGGGTTGGGGACCACGGCCGTGGGGCGATGCTGAGCTGTGGAGCTGGGATGGAACCATGAGGTTGGGATGGAACCACGGGGCTGGGGACCACAGCTGTGGGGCGATGCCTAGCCGTGGGGCTGGGATGGAACCATGGGGTTGGGGACCACGGCTGTGGGGTGATGCTCAGCCATGGGGCTGGGATGGAACCACGAGATTGGGATGGAACCACGGGGCTGGGGACCATGGCTGTGGGGCGATGCCTAGCCGTGGGGCTGGGATGGAACTTTGGGGCTGGGGACCATGGCCATGGAGCGATGCTCAGCTGTGGGGCTGAGATGGAACCATGGGGCTGGGATGGAACCACGGGGCTGGGGACCACAGCCGTGGGGTGATGCTCAGCTGTGGGGCTGGGACATGGCAGTGGGGCGATGCTGAGCCATGGGGCTGGGATGGAACCACGGGGCTGAGGACCACGGCTGTGGGGCGATGCTCAGCCGTGGGGCTGGGATGGAACCACGGGGCTGGGGACCACAGCCGTGGGGTGATGCTCAGCTGTGGGGCTGGGACATGGCAG